GGTTTTGCCCTCTCGGTTGATGTCTTCGGGTTTCCTCTCCCTTCCCTGATCCTTGTGGAACGCTGGCTTTGCTCTTCTGCCTGTCGCCTCTTCGGGGCTCCTTGGCGGAAACGTGGCTCGCTAATGTTTGGATACGATCGCCAGCATTTAAAGCAAAGGGCATCAAAGGTTAGGAAAGTCCGCGGAGACAAAAGGCTCTCATTTACCTGGGGGAGGAGGGGAGATGGGGGTTGCAGTGGGGGTGTCATGGAGCTGGGCATCCCTGGATGAGCCGAGTTTTAGGGCATCTCTCTGTCTTTTGCACATGGCGGGTGGGGGAAACAAACACACGAGGGCATGATAGCCCGTGGGTCCACTTGATTGCCCGACCTATTATTTAGTGGAATTTGTTGAAATTATGAGGTGCACACACAAATCCGGTGATCACCCTCCCTGCTTCCCGATTGGCTGAGCCGGTCACGTGGGCGGCTAACTTTATTCAGTTGACAGCAAGTAGGAGGGCTCTGTGGAAGGGGGGAAAAAGACAACACGAGAAAAATTAGTATTTTCCACCTTCCGAAATTAATGGCCATGAGTTCGTATATGGTGAACTCCAAGTATGTGGATCCCAAATTTCCTCCTTGTGAAGAATATTTGCAGAACAGCTACCTCGCAGCTGAGCAGGGCTCCGAGTATTACGGGGCCTCGCCAAGCTCGGACTTCCAGCCTCAGGGACTCTATCCACGGTCAAACTACGGCGAGCAGCCGTACAGCTGTAGCAATGCCCAAGGCTCTGCCGCCGTGCCGCCGCGGGGTCACGGGCAGGAGCAGTCCGGGCCCCCGAGTCATTTCCCCGGGCATGCTGAGCACTGTCCACCGTCTGCCCTGCCAGCCACCAGGACCTGCACCCAGCAGCCGAACCTTAAAAGCCCCAACGGGTCAGCAGCAGCAGCAGCACCAGCAGCCTCTTCAGTAGCCGCAGCAATCAAGCAACCCGCGGTGGTTTATCCCTGGATGAAGAAAGTCCACGTTAACTCGGGTGAGTCTCACCTTCTTGCGACCCCTGCTTCCCAATCTGCACCAGCCCCACCGCCGCCTCCTGCAGCCCACCTACTCTGCAGCCTAACCACCACCACCACCCCCCAAAAAAAAAGTCCTTTGCAGGCTCCATGAGGAGAGTCCTGGGGTTGGGAAATCAAGGCAGCCTACTGCTTTCGCCATACATTTTTATGGTGGAGGAAACAGGCCTCTTGGCCATGTGCCTTGGAGAAGGAGGAGAGCCCCTTGCAAAAAAAAAAAAAGATGTTGAGGGATTTTTAAGGTTCATTATGTCAGTGAGTAAAAGAGGAAAATAATAGAGGAGGGAAGAGAAGGAAGAAACACACACATGAAATGGTGCCCATCTGTGATTAGCCCTCTCGCCGCCGCCCCCCCGCCCCCATGCAAGGGTGTATGTATGGAATGGCCACACAGTAGTGAGTTGGGTCTCATTTTGGTTTGGCATAATGCTGTAGTCCAAGTTTTCTTATCAATGGGTGATTTTTTTAAATGGAGGGGAACATTCAGGATGACTATTTTTCTCCTTCTCAGTGAATCCTAATTACACCGGAGGAGAACTGAAACGGTCGAGGACAGCTTACACCAGGCAGCAAGTCCTGGAACTGGAAAAAGAATTCCACTTCAACCGGTATTTGACCAGGCGCCGCCGGATCGAAATCGCTCACACGTTGTGTCTCTCCGAACGCCAGATCAAGATCTGGTTCCAGAACAGACGCATGAAGTGGAAAAAAGACCATAAACTTCCTAACACGAAGGGCAGGGGATCCGGTTCTGCCTCGTCGGCCTCCAGCCAACACTTACAGACGGTTTCCAAGGAGCATCAGACTGAGTTGACAACTTTGTAAGAAACTTGGCAAACGGGTCCGTTTCAGAGGCTTGGTTTGGAACTAAAACTGCCCTGGACAGACGTAGACAAGTTGAGAGAGAGATTGAGAGAGAGAGAGAGAAAGGCCAAGAGAAACTAAAGAAATAGATTTACTCTCTGACTAAGCAAAAACCTGCGCCTAGCAGGGAACCACTGCCGAAGTCTCCTCTTGCTTTAAGGTACCAGAGACAAACCCAACCATAAGGGCTTCACAGGAAGAATGCAGCTCAGCAGAGCCACTCAAACGAACAAACAGGCAAACACAAGCTAGCAAGCAAACTGCATCCAGGAGAGAAAGTGATACAAATATCTCTATGTCTATATAAATATAATATTTTTTAAATAAAACTCCTCTGTCGAAACATAACCATGCACCCCTGCCAACGAAACCGTTTGATGTTGCATCTGAGACCTGCAGGGGAAGGTTTGTGGGTTTGTTTCTGAGTTAGTCGTGGTTTCTCTCCCCACCCCACCCCACCCCCCTTTTCCCTATTCTTAGAAAGAGTCCGAGTTGTGCATTTGGGTAAGTCCAAAACCGAAGTCTTGGCTGAAGGCATGTGAACTCTTTGCTCTACGGAGCATTTTATTTTAAGGATAATGCAACAGGGGAGCATTATTTTAAGGATAATGCTCCCCTGTTGCATTATCCTTAAAATAAAATAGCATACTCACCCATCCCCTCTAACTTTTCTGTAATGTTTTTTTTTAAAAAAATTGAAGTGAAACGGGTTGTTTTATTTTGTTATTTTTTTAGTGTATTTATTTATTTGTAGTTTAGGAAAAGGAAAAGAGGGAAGGTTGGAGAATAAGCAAACCAAAAATGCAGAACAGGACGAAAGTGAGTATCTCTCCTCCCTCCCACCCCCCCCAACCCCCGTTACGGAGATCTTGCTCATGAAAGTGTAGAATGTATCCACTTCTTCACACACCCATAGACCCCCCCCCTCTGGTTTTAGGGTTCCTCTATATATTGCATAGGGAAATGTTTTATAGTATTTAGCGACGAGGAACAAACAATAGTCTTCTTTTCTGATCGAATGGCCTCAAAACCGTTCCTGTTCATGTGTTGTCTTTTTAGTCCGTTCAAAAGAGTGAGCAGACCCGAAAACAAATTGTAGGAAAGAGAAAGAAAAGAGTCGCTCCTACGAAAATACGGAGCTACTATTTCACACGATTTGGGACATGGAAGAAAATATTTTTTTTATTCAGACTAGGTGATGTGGTGTTTAGCTTTTATCATATTTTAATTAAACTATTGTGCTGGTTATGAAGAAAAACCCTGTGACGAAACAGGAGGACGCACGGTACGTTTAGTATTGCGAGGTCTGTTTCTTTTGATGAAAAGCGAAATGGGAAAACTTGGGTATATTTTAAGATAATTGTAGAGAGACGGAAACACCTTAGGAGAGAGGAGAATAGGTCCCGATATACTTTGGCATAAATCCCTGCCATTTGCACCGGCGTGTAAGGTTTTAGGTCAGTGTTTATAAGAGCATCTTGGTTTCGCTTGAAGTATATTTGACTAAGGCAGTAAAGAAAAGCAAAACCTTACGTCCTACCAGTTTATCCCTCGGGATAGGAGCAAGCCAAGAGGTCCCCTTCACTTCAACACATACACCAGGAAAGCTTAAGGGGATGAGATAATGTGCTAATTCCACCTCCCCTTTAAATTTCCAGCCCATTTTGATGCCCACTTCCTTGGAAACAAGTCGGATCAGGTCCTTAGACGTTAGTCCCCAACCAGAATCCCTCTGAAGTGCATGGGCAGGAGCGTTTTAAAATTTGCAATCTGGAAATTCGTGGCTTCTAGGAAAGATACCTAGCGAGCTGGGAAGGGTGGCAGCTTCAAGGCTTAAAAGGACTCTATTCTATCAGGGATCGAGGTTCGGGAAGGTTTTCTTTGATTTAAACAAAATGTGGGGGGAGAGAAAAGGGATGGATGCTTCGATGGGGAAGCTGGAGGATGGTAAAATACACTTCCAGAGATCCACGTTCAATTGACTGGGCCTTGGAGGAGTTGGCGTCGCCACAGTTCTCCCGTTTGGCCGTGGTATTTTCCCTGGAGTCAGTCCCCTTTTTGGTCAGTCACCTCTTGAGCTATTCGCGGGGCTCCTTTTGACGGATTGTCCGGATCGGGATCGCCCAAGACACCGCCTTTTGTGTGAGTTCCCGGAGCCTCTTCTTTGTTCTTCCTCTCTAACCCAAGCCCTGCTTCTCAGGCTTAGACCCGGGCTGAGCTTCGCTTGAATATCTGCCCGTCGTGATATTAAAGATGGATATTCCTGCTTTCTCCGCGTCATTGTCTCTCTGACAAAAAGCGCCGCGATCATACATAGGGAAGACGTCTTCTTTTCTGACGCCTTCACGTCGAGAGGCTGAAAAGCTGGGTGGTTTTTGTTGTTTTGTGTTGTTTTTCAGCCGAACTTCGGCTAAATGGTAGAAGCAGGTTCAACCAGAGGACAACTTTTCTATCCGATTAGCCGTGTTTCAACCGGGAGGAATGACCTCTAAACCCTTCACCTCTTGGACCTCAATGAGTCCCCCTGCCCCCTTTTTTTCCCCTGTAGCACTGAAAGGCAGCCAAGAAAGCAGCGGCCCTGGCCTCAATTACTCACATCTGAAATCTTGAAGTCCTTCTTCTTCTTCTGCTTCTTCTTCTTCTTCTTCTTCTTCTTCTTCTTCTCTTCCTCCTCCTCCTCCTCCTCCTCTCTTTCCTAAAGCACTAGTCCTAAACCTGGAGGTTACAGCCACCAGATTTCCTTCCGTTTCTTTTCCAGAGGCTCCATGTTCGGATTAGTTGGATGGTAAAGAAAAGGGAAGGCCGCCACTGTTTACTTAAGGCCTGTGTCAGGTTGTTTGTTTGTGTGTCTTTTAGAGGGGTAGCCAAGAGCTCTGGCTTTCTTACAACTTAATCCTTTACTGCCTCCTTGGCGGCATTCACATCCTACTGGGCTTTAGTAAGTGTTGGCTGATCCTGTTGGTGTTTGTTCTGAAATTAAGTCCGGAGTTTAATGGAGCATTCCCTGCCAAGCAGGGGTAGGTAGGGCTGTTGCCCTAATGTTCTGGAAAGAAGGGGGGAGAGAGAGCTAGCAAAGGAGAGGGAAAGAGGGAAGTCCCTTTTGTGGCGGTGCATCCTTCCCTCTAGCCACACACTAGGAAGGTGTGAATTTCAATGGAACTGCCCTGTAACTCAACCCTGCCTTGAAACCTGGAGATCGGAAGCCTCCATCTAATGTGTGTGTGTCGGAAAGTTATGTCCCCTTGATTTCAATGGGACTTATGCCATGTGGGCAAATTGCAGCCTGAGAGTGGTCTGGGTGAAAGAAAGGCCTAGAGGCTAAACATACTTCCGAAGGTATAATCACCCTTTAATCCCAATGTCACAGACTTCCGCATAAACATGTTTCGAACAAGTCTGCCAATGAGGCAGTTTGGACTTCATCCTACCGTTCGTTTGTCTCTCCCCCATCCCTCCCACCCTGAGTCCTGCATCTTCAACCACGTGGAATTCAGAACGTGTGAAGAAAAAGCAAGAACTGTCCCCAAGCCCTTTTGTAATGCTAATGTCCCCTGAACAAATGTTCGGTCCAAACTCTTAAAGTTGTGCTGGGGAGGGGAGTCTCCTTTGAGCTTTTTGGGGTGGGTGGGAGGGGGGGGTGTCTTAAATCTTGGTTGCATTTATGCTGGTCAGCCCTTGAAAGAGAATGATGGAATGCAGCAGAGTATCAAAAGGTTTCTGTTTGATGGGTCTGAGATGTAAACATTTGGCCAAAAATGCTTTAAACCCACCCCCATCACATTCACATCCTATGCTCTTTTCTCAGTTGTTTGAGGAGAGAAATTACTTTGATGGTGACTGTTTTGATATTGGACTATGCTGAAATCGTCCCACTACAAACTGAAGAAGTGGGGTGGGGATGGGGTGGGCTGCCACAATCCTCCCTTATAAATTCAGAGTTGTATGCTACTAGATCTTAGTGATTAAATCGCTTTGTAAAACAGCAGTTGTCTGTTCTCCTAAAATGTTTTCTAGACTTTGCTTATAGTTTTTTTTTTGCTGCCTCTAATTAAAGAACTATTTATACAAGTTATCTTGATCCATGTCCTCTCTGTACACAGATGCTTCATATAATAAAAGATGGAAAGAGACTCTATTTTTACCAGAAAGAAGTAAAACAAAATCCAGGGAGATCATGTAGGATGTATAGTTTCTCTTATATCTACAAAAACTAACCTCAGAGTGTAAGTCTACATGTACTGCTATAGAAAACAACACGGAAGAAGTAGCATACTGTGGGCTGATGTTGCCCACATCCTAATGTCAACTATATATACTGATAAATATTATTCATGCCTGGATATTGAGAAGCAAATTGCACTGATTTAGGCTCATTCTGAACTAAATATCCAAAGGAGTGCAGCTTTATATTCTACTCCTAAGGGTGTTTATTTGGAAACCACTGGATTACATAGATCTTCCAAGTAATTTCACAGTTATATTTTTGTTTGCAGGCTGAATCACAGTTATTCAGAATTTGATTTCAGTCATCCCGGCTGCAGTTGCTGTACTTCTGAATAAATATATATAAGATTACACCTGGGTCTGGAATTAAGGCCACACCTGCCTGCCAGTACTGAACTTCCTTCTGACACTTCTGATCCTATTGTTGGGGTTGCTATGGAAATCCCATTGACTTCAATGGAACTTACTCCTGAGTATACATGAGCAGGGTCAATGTCTGCTTAAAAAGCAAAGGATGTAAGGCGATACTCACTTAAATGTATTTATTTAAAACATTTCTTCAGAAAAACCATCCAAAGTAGATTAAGTAAAGATGAGAAAAAGCAAGTTAAAGTAAACAAACTTACAGCATGCTAAAATACCCTGAAGTGTTCTCCACTTTCTATATCTCATGTTACTTACTTTTCCTCTCTTTTGGTGACCCTTTCATGCAATGTATTTATATCTGTCTTAAATCCTCTTCCTGGACATGATAGTTGGCAGCTTTCCACTTCTTTCAGGGTGAATTGCTTCCCATCTTTTGGCTACCATTCAAGGAATCTTGCAACTGATACTGCCAAGCTAAGTATGGATGGGTGGTAACTTTGATCTTCTTCTTTGGACAACAGATCCTCTCCAATATTGCATGATTAGAACTCTGTGTGTGTGTGTGTGTGTGCGTGTGTGTGTTTTGTGGCACCCTTGTTTGTGTATGTGTACTTGCATGCATGCATATTGGTCTGTGTACATGTACTCAGACCAGGTTAAAATAGCAGCAACAGTAGTGACAACCACCCT